TTTTCCAAGCCATCATTCCTCATTATGTGTTCAAGGAATTTCAGCTGTTTTTTCTTGAATTTGAGTATAAGCGTTCTTTCTGTTGCCCTTTTCTTTTTCTTACTCACTCCTTCGATGAAATTCTCAGTGTCCTTCTTTACAACAAGATCTCTGCTGTTTGTAGTTTTTTCCTAATCCTTAGGGAAATTGTCCAACATTCATTGCCATATAAGAGGATAGATAACATATCGAAATTCGGTACTCTTCTTTGTAAAAAAAAAAAAAATCATTTTCTTAGATTTTGGAATGCGTCTTCCGTTAGTATACTACGTGTTTGGATCTCACTGTCGTATTTTCCATCGTCTGTTGAGGCGCCTCCCAGAAACTTGAAATCCTCACCTGATTGATGTTTATATCTCCAATTCGTAACTAGCATCTTCGAATTTTTCTCTTGCTGATGACCATAATTTCTGTCTTCTTGCAGTTGACACTTAGACATTTGTTCTCACTTTCTTCTACAAACCTGTCTCGGTGATCCTGTAGTTGCCTTTCCGAGTCAGCCATCAGCAGTGTGTCATCTGCGTATCTTATATGATTACGCTCAACCTATAATATATCATGTTAGTGTCTCCAGTCACTATATAGGTGGAATATATCTGGGGAGAAGGTGCATCTTTGTTTTATGCGTATTTCCATTTTTATATAGCTACACAATTTATTTCCTGTCCGTGTACAGGCTGTTGGATCTTAGTATAAATTCTGGATTATTCTAAAAAAGAAGCCTTTTCCAAATAGATCAAGTTATCTATGTTCTCGCAGAATTTTAATTTTAATCGTTTACTTTTAATATTCTTGATCTACTGCACTTGAAAAAGATTTTGAAAATGTTTAAAATTATCTTTTAAGATAAATACTCTGACGAATTTCATTTAATTACTTTTTTTAAAATATTTTCATCACATTTGTTATTAAATGTCGCACATTGTAATAATAGAAAATCTGTTAATTAAGATGAAATCTTGTGTGAAGTCACCGCCTGGCCTCTCTGCGCCGTCGCCGACCTATCCTGCGACGACCAATGTGACTTGGTATTGGTCGCGGCACCAGACGTGACGTTCTAACCCCTTGCTGATTCGGATGGGAATCTGGTTAGATTCGGTATCAGCCCTGTCGTTCCCAGTTCGCCTTCAACGTCTGGTTACCGAAGTAACTCCTTTGATTTCTCGTCTAACCTACCCACGTTGTGATTTGATCTTAGGTAGACGAAATCAATCAGTCGCCGGGGCGCAATGCAAGTCGAGTCCGAAAAAGGGTAATACCGCACAAGTATATGTAAAAGAAAATAAAGTAACAACTCGAAAAGGAAAACACCAGAAGCCATTATCAAAGATGATAATTTCAATAAATCAAACAACACACGGACGAAACAACAATGATAGTCCGCCCTTGCTGCATGAAAAATTTCCAAACTCGTATATATGAGACGCGGAAGCGAAAATCGCGTCGCAGCTCGAGACGTCACACATGACCAAGCGAGAGTGAAAAAAGAGAAGTATGAAGTATGGGAAGCCGTTAGTATAAACCAATAGCTTCTGTTATGTAAGCCGAAAGATTAGATTGAATTTAAACATGTATCAATAAGGTGTTTTACTTTCATCTTACAACGATAATGTGATTAAGCTTATCAGTCAATATGAAAGGAACTTACTTAAAATAAATAGACAAAACTTGTCTATATTATTTAATGAAACATACATTAATGAAAAATTGTTGCTAAATATACACAATATATATATATATATATATATATATATATATATATATATATACATATATATATATATATATATATATATATATATATATATATATATATATATATATATTTAAAGTATATAATTGGTATATACGGAATGAATTCCAATAACCAACAATTACTTTTCTTAAAAGAGTGGTCAATACAAAGTAGAGCAGATATAATCATTTTTTTTTTTAAATTTATAACATTAATATGCTATAAAATCACTACAAAAATAGCCATTTTGTTTCAACACCCCTGGTGTCTTATCAGGTGATGATGTTGAATGCAAAATGAAATGATTTTATTTTGCATTCAAAATCATCATTAATATGACACCAGGGGTGTTGAAACAAAATAGCTATTTTGTAGTGATTTTATAACATATTTATGTTATAAATTTAAAAAAAAACATATATATATATATATATATATATATATATATATATATATATATATATATATATATATATATATATTTGAATATGCCTGTATGTTTATGTGCGTGTTTTTTAATAAACACACACACACACACACACGCACACGCACACACACACACATATATATATATATATATATATATATATATATATATGTCTGTATGTCTATGTATTGTCATCCACATATAAGCCTGTTTCACTGTAAAACATTACTGTATTTCTGACAGTGTTCGGGAAACAAAAATATGTCTGCCTTCCATCGGCTGTATAAAATAGCATTTTCGCTACATTTCTTAAAATAATATAACAAATATACTTCTAAATATCAAATATATTCGCTGCAAACTCTTGGAATCAATAAACAATTGGGCAAATTCTACACTCATTAAGCCCAAAAAAGAAAACAGTTGTTCGCATCCAAGAAAATAAAATTAAAAAATGAACAAAATTGCCTTGTCTGTCTTGTATGGTGGCAGCGCCCTTAGAGAAGTGGAGAAAATATCCTTAAATACAATTTCTACCCAAACATATTGGGAGAAAACCACCTGTATGGATATAAAATTAATTGAGTTACTACACAAAAATAGAAAAATGCGTAAGAAAATCCTGCGACTTCTTGCTGGATTTATTCAAACTCTACACGAGTCATACCTGGATTTTATTTTCGATTTGACACCAACACATAAAAAAAAAAATTGAGGGAAAAGTTTAGAAAATTTTGTAACACGAAAAGGAGATAATGGTGATGAAACACCAAGTTGTAATTTTAAAGAAAGAAAATCCTGCATTCTGACAATTTTCACTTATTCCACCTTGTTTTATAGAATTTTAGATGTTATAATATAATAAAGAGGGTGCTGAAGACATTTACACACACACACACACACACACATATATACATATATATATATATATATATATATATATATATATATATATATGTATATATATGTGTGTGTGTGTGTGAATTAAAAATTGTTACATAAAGTTTTGCTACTCGGGTTCCAAGTTGAGCACACTTTTATTTTACTGAGTTTCCATTGGTCGACCTCGACGAGAGCGTCCACCATGTACAATAGCGAGCATAAAGAGCAGAAGGATCTTAAGAAAAAGTCTAAATGTGAAATAAATTTTTATTTTAAAGCTTCAAAGAGCATTTTGTCAAGGAAACATAAGGATACAAAGGTAAATTATATAATTCCAAAATATAAAACTCAATAAACTTTTGATAAAGTTATAAGAATAATTATATAATATTCGAAAAAATAGATGATCAAAAACATTAGAACAAAATATTATACTATTATAACGGATACATCATATCCAAATGAAAATAGCGTTCATAATTCATTAGTACTTGATGTGTAGACCTTGATTTTCAATAACAGCTTGACATGCTACATGAGCGAATTAATGTCTTGCATTCATTAATGGAGATTTTCTCCTATTCTCCTTGCAAATTAGCCTATTCGACGTTTGTTGGATTCTTTTCCTTAGGTCTTTCATTTAGTAACTGCGAAACATTCTCAATATGATTCATGGCTAGGCTTTGAGTAGGCCACTCTATAACAGTAACATCCTCCTCAGAAAGAAATGTCTTAACAGACTTCGTTGTGTGACATGGCGTGTTATCTTGCATAAATGCAATTTGTTATTAATTGCAGTTCGCAAATTAGGTACATTTTTCTTCAATATCTCTTTGTATACAGTTGCGTTAATTTTGCCGTCTCGTCTGACAAGAGGTCCTGTACTAGTAACTGAAATAATGCTAATCACCATCACACTTCCTCTTCCAAATTTAAGACTGCTTTTAGTGCACGGAGACGAATATCATTCCTTAGGACTGCGTCGAACGAACCTTCTCCCGTCACAACCGAACAGCTTAAACTCATCGTTGAAATGAAAACTATCCCACTGTTCTTCAGTCCATATGACGTGTTCAGTGGAAAATTTCAGTTTTTAGAAATGTAAAGCTTCGTAGAGGCTACTCGACTTTTCAAATTTATTTCATTAAGTCTTCGGGAAATAGTGTGCCTTGATATTTTAATGTCAAGTTTAGCATTAGCTCTTTTAGACATAGCGGTTGCTGTCGCAAATCGATCCTTTTTTAATTCATTGCCAATCTATCTGTCTTCCTTTGTAGTAGTTTTCCTAGGCCTGCCAGGTGGTTTTGCGGCTTCACATGACTCAGATTCCTGAAGTTTTCTTAAAATACTATGAATAACACTTTTATATTTCCCGACAGACTTTGAAATATTTTTATTTTTCATATTCTTACCCTAAAAGATTCTCATTAATGCAAAATAATTATTAAACTTTATGGATTTATTTAATCATTCAGATGCTTTTGATCATCTATTTTTCTAATGTTATATAATTACTCTTATAACTTTATCAAAATAAGTTTACTGAGTTTTATATTTTGGAATTATATAATTTACCTTTGTATCATTATTTTTCCTTGAAAAAATGTTCTTTGAAGATATAAAATAAAAATTTATTTCACATTTAGACCTTTTCTTAACATTGTTCTGATCTTTATGCTCGCTACTGTATATATGTATATGTACATATATGTAAAGTGACAAACTAAAGTATCAACTGAAAGAGTGAAAAATCTATAAGGAAATAAAATAAATAAAAACAAAATGCAAAACAAATAAATTGAACATTGAAGCCAAAAGTTAAACAGGAATAACGTACATCAATTTAGTGAATATAGACGGTGTTCAATCTGTCAGAAACGGAATTTTAAAACAGAAAAAAGCGGGAAAACTTTTCAAATGGAAGAAACGCCGGATTTGATCATGACTCTTTTTCTTTCCTACTTTCTTTCTTTCGTAGTTTCTTTCTTTCTTTCGTTCTTTCTTTCTTTCTTTCTTTCTTATAAAACCTTGGGTTGCCTTTTAATGACATCCACTTATTCTCTTCAGAGATTGTTTTTCACTTAAGTACACATCGCCTTACTTCTGTTCTAATCGGACTATTTTGATGAATTTCAAACATATAAGGTGAGACAGCACATAAAGTTGGGAGCAAATTTCAATCGATTACCCAATGGCGATTATTTTATTTTTCCTTGCTTACTTCGACGCAAAATTTGACTCCGAAAAAGCCATACCAAAATAATAATGATCACAGATATATAACAATTTTTTTTTTTATGTTAAGGACATGAAGATTTATTATTTTAATTAAATGTCTTCAACATAAAAAAAAAAATATCTTATTGAAGTTGATTTTGTTTGGAAATATATTCAATATATATATATATATATATATAACGAATAATGTATACATTTAGAGAGGACAGACTTTATGCATAAAGCAATGGAGAATAATAAATAGTGGGACCTAGTATCGTCCCTGGGGTTGGCTTTGTTTTTCTATACGATTAAAAACTTTCAGACATTGCTTATTTATGAGATCACTAAAAAAGAAAGAGCATGGCATGATGAAAAAGACGCCAAATTTGACAAAAACAAAATTTTAAGTTCTAATTGTTCATGTTATTATTAAGAGGAAAGATCAAAGTATTTTGGGGGTATTTTTTACATTTTTTAATCGCTCCGAGCACGTCCGAAATTTATGTTAAAAATTTAGTTTTTTTGAGTTAGCAAAATTGACAGATAATCGCTTATGGCATCCATTTTTTCCATTTTATGAAAAAGATGAAATCTCACTTTGAAATTCTTTTAAAAATCAATTATCATTTTTTCAAAACTTATTTTAAGAAATGTTTGGCGTCTTTTACATCATTCTATGCTCTTTTTTAACGATCTCATGGCGGTACCTACTTATTTAACAATATAATATGAAATTGAACACAAGATAATATCTGCGGTTTGGGATGCGCAAATGACAGCGAATGAAACTAGGAACTATTTCTTTTGATTAACACCTATAAATAAAAACAATATTAATCAGTTCCTGTTTTTTTTCTTTTTGAGAGAAAATGAATTTGAAATGCGCAGAGGTAAATAAAAAATAACAATTAAAAATCAAGATACAAAATAAAAAATGTTATCAAATCTACACCGGCAGATTTATAGGATAATGTACAAAGATTAATTTCTGAAATCTAATTTAACAGAAGAGGAGGCCTTAAAAAGTTAAGAAAAGGTAAAATATAATTCCAACTGAGCCTCATTTGGAATTTGCTTTGCTCTCCTATCTTTTCCTTTTCTTTTTCTTCCTTCTTTTTTCATTTTTCTTTTTTCCTTATTTCAGGAAGTCATTCGTTTCATTCTTTGATTCATTGACTTATCCCTGCTTTATTTATATCTTGCATTCCTTAACGTCTTTCATTATTTTTTGATTTTATATGGTTCTTCCGAAATATCACTTCCTTTTCGCAATTAATGCATTCAATTTTATTTTATTTTTTGTTTTCCAGCTGGCCTTTTTATTTTGTTAGATTTAATATAAACTTTTGTATTTTCTTGTTCTATGCAATTTTTAATTTTCCCACTTTTTTATTTGTTTCTTTTTAAGAAAATACCTCACAACTACTTTCCTTTATTTCTTCATTCCTTAGCGAATTCTTTAGAATTCTTTCTTCCTTCCTTCTAATAACGCCTTGGGTAGTATGGTAATGCCATCCATTTATTCAATAGTTCTTCAGAGATTGTTTTTCACTTAAGTACACATCGCCTAACTTCTGTACTAATCGGGCTATTGTCATAAGTCTGGAACTTACAAGACGAAGCGGCAGCAGAAGCTGCGGCGAAATTTCACTCAAATTGCCCAATGGCGACTATTCTATTTCTATAACAAATTCGATTATGAAAATCGACTGCGAGAAAATCTTCCTAAAATTTTTTTATTCTAAATTTGAATATTGTTATCAATAACAGACATAAGGACAATCGATCAAAGTATTTTTATATACATATATAGAAGGAAGAGGTTATAGTAGTTCCAACGAGAGAAAAATGTGTATATTAAAAAGAAGAGAGAAAGCACAAACGTTTATGGTTGAAATATTGTGCTTTATTTTCCATAATATTGCTACGCGGGTTTCTGGTCTCGCGACTGTCATCAGGCAAAGGGCAGAGATTTCCACATATTATTAAAAATATTTTTTTTCTTTTATGTTTTTCAATGTTAAATATTCTCGATATGAGACTCTTTTTTGTGTCTAAATGTCTTTCTGGAACTGGCCGTGAAAATTTCTGCGTGAAGGTTTTTAAACAATTAAGATTGGTCCGAGAAATGATGGAGTAATTATTGGCATTGTTATCATTTAATGACCCTCAGCGTTCTTAGATCTATTTCCATTTTCGTGTTATATATATATATATATATATATATATATATATATATATATATATATATATAGTCTTTTCGTTTTGGACACAATGTGTATAGGAACCGCCAAAATGTCTTATAATTATGAACAATTTCGGCTACACATTTGGAAAGTTTATACACACACTCTATAATCAAAAAATAAAACATTTGTTCGAACACAAGAAAAACTAAATATAATGATTAATCGATCGCAGTACTGTCTGCTTTCTTTAATGAAACACAGAAACATTCTGTTTATATTTCTGAGATGAGGTATTATGTACACTAATTACATTATTCGGACTATTGTCCTCATCTTTATCGTCATAATAGTTACAATGTTTCAGCCGTTGTAAGCTCCGGCCTTCTTCATGTGGTTGGAATGTCGAACTGAACCCTATATTTCGCTCATTGGGGTAGACTGTTCTAGTTCCACGTGTCATGTTTAATGGATGTCACTTATTAGTTATCTCTTATTAATTCCCCTGCGCAAGTTCTCCATTGCCTTAACCGGGTAATGAACTCACACTCTTTGGGTCCTGTAATGTTGTAATAAATATGGCGACAAAGATGGGGACAATACTCCGAATAATGTAAATAGTGCACACACACACACACACACGCGCGCGCGCTCGCGTGTGTGTGTGTGTGTGTGTGTGTGTGTGTGTGTGTGTGTGTGGAAAGTGTGCGTATATAAATATAAATAAATATATGTATGTATAATTATTTATATATTATATGCGCGGTACTTATTAGAAAGCGTTCAATATCAGAGATAGAGCTAACATATTTGGTTGGATAGATGTGAGTTTGTGACCCTGGGTTTCACGCTTTAGCGATTGTCAGACAAACTGATTAATTTTTTTTAAATTTTGGGTTTATGTTGATTGCGTGTATTGGTGTTATTGTGGAAGTGGTGGGGGAAACTTCGTCGCTTATGTCATCGTACTAACGCAAACATCGATGTATGCAGACACATATGCATACTTGGTCGTCCGTCGGGACTCATACGTATATAAACATATGTGGGCAGTTTCGGATATGACATATGTATGTATACGGGTGGTGTTGTGTCTATACATACGCATTTGTATGTTGAAATTCAAAGATTAGGAGTGTAGCGAAGATTTCTCGTGAATGTATACATGTCATATTTTTATTTTTCCAGTGAATAAATTTCTTCGCATGTATGTATATACGTGTGGTGGGGTTTGTGTAAAATTATGATAGGTAAAAATTATTATTATTTATATTTATTTTTAAATTTTTGAAAAAAAAAACGGGGGTTTATTTGTTATATTTAAAGCTGGTTATTTGTTTGTTTTTGATGACTGTGTATATGTAACAGGTAGAAATTTGTAATCCTTATTGGTTATTTGGTGACGTTTAATATTTAATATGCTGGGTGAGAGGGTAGTTTAATTTAATAATTATAGCGGGTCTATATGATATGATGTGATAGTAATGTTGCAAGGGATTGGAGACAATGATAATATAATTAGCTAATAGTTATTGTAAATTGGTAGAAATGATTAGTAACGGTGGTGGGAGAATGATAAAACCATAAATGTAGTTATAGTGGTGGTAGCTTGAACTAAAACGTGGTTGTTGGTGTTTTATTTTATTTTGTTATATGTATTAATTTATTTTGGTATAAATACTGATAATATGTATGAGTCCCGACGGACGACCAAGTATGTATATGTATCTGCATACATCGACGTTTGCGTTAGTACGATGAATGACAAAACGACGAAATTTCCCCCAACAATTCCACAATAACACCAATACACGCAATCTACATAAACCCAAAATTTCAAAAAAATTAATGAGTTTGTCTGACGATCGCTAAAGCGTGAATCCCAGGGTCACAAACTCACATCTATCCAACCAAATATATATATATATATATATATATATATATTCCAATTCCACTCCACTCTGATTTAAATGCAGAAGCTTACTTCTCTTTTATATTTATGCTACACACTTATACATTTCTGGAGACTATTTTCGCGAAAAGGAATATAACGAAATCTTATGAAATTCGAAATCCTCTCTCCGATTTCTCAGTTTGTGAAACTATCCATTACAACACTTCGCACCCATCCATCCATCTATCTATCTATCTATCTATCTATCTATCTATCTATCTCCTCTTGTTCATATTCATTTATCTATGTCTGTTCACATCTATCTATCTATCTATCTATCTATCTATCTATCTATCTATCTATCTATTTCCTTTTTGAACCTATTTATCTATTTCTGTTCACATCTATCTATCTATCACATTTTTCCTCTCTATCTATCTATCTATCTATCTATCTATCTATCTATCTGTCTATGTCTATTCGCATCTATCTATCTATCAATCTATCTATCACGGTCTGTTCACATCTATCTATCTATCTATCTTTCTATCTATCTCCTTTTGTACATATTCATTTATCTATTTCTGTTCATATCTATCTATCTATCTATCTATCTATCTATCTATCTATCTATCTATCTATGTCTATTCGCATCTATCTATCTATTTGTGTGTGTATGTGTGCATGCGAATCAGCAAATTTTCATTTAAAAATATGCCCAATTAATTTAACCCGCTTATCCTTGTCGCTCATAAAGAGATCCATATATATGTCTCCTTTTCTCTTCATTTTTCTTAATGAATTGTAGCCTCTTCTCGTTATTGACCGAGATGACCTGGTCTTGTAATGAGCACTCATTATTCATACTCTTCAGACCATCGAAGTCCTCTGAAGGCGAGTACTTGAACCCACGTCAAGGCCATCCTTTGGGCAGTTTGGGAAAAGAGGGCCTTTGGAAAGGTCTTCGAGACTAGATTGTTACGACTACATTCGTCAAGAAAGCCATTTAGTTCCTTTAACACTGAGTCCATGTACGCATTTTATTGTTGTCTGCATTCTTTACGGAGTCCGTGAAATGGTCGAGCAGTTTGTAAAAGGTTAAAGGAATTGGCGAAATCAGAAATCCGAGAAATGTTAAATGCTCGGCGAATCTATTATTGTTAAACAAACTGGTGTGCTTGCGTGCACGCTTGGGTTGACAGAGCAGACGCCTACGCCAGGGACATAGCAAAAGAATTGTAGCCCATTAAATCTCAGTACCGAAATGGAGAGACGCTTCAAGAGGCAAAAGGGAAGTTAGAGTGAAACGATCATATAGTTAAATTGTAATTTTTCGCGAACTTATCAAATCCGACGCAATCTTCTTTGAATTAATTCTAATATTATACAGAAAACATTAACCCTAATATTAAAATACAGGATCAATTAAGATATTTGCAAAAAAAAAATCAACCTTAGCATTTTCAATTTTGCTAGTATTTAAGAGAAGAATTTATTGTTGCGGAATAATGAATTTTCAAGCGTAGCTTAGATTCTGGACAATGTCGAAATGGGTACACAGTGTGGACCAAATTCATTACTCCGTCGTAATTGTTCTAGCGAGACAATCTTGTAACCATTAGACCACATCGATGTTTGCTCTAACGTGTCGGAATATAATCACGTAAATAGAAGAATTCTGTGATATCTTTCTACGCGGTTATTCTCTAGGTGGGATTTTACAAGTTCCCTTAGCTTGAGCAAATAGATAGAAAAGAAAGATTGGCTGAAGTCCTGCATGCCGTTTTTTGGTGGGGGTTTCGGCGGGGGCGGGCAGATTGAATTTCGTCATCATGCTCATTTTTCTCACAGATAGTGGCCAACTGAGCCTACTATAAGGTGCAGTCATACAAATAACGCGTATGCACGATATTAAAATATGAAATGACGACAATTGACACATCGCACCCTCACTGTGTATGTATATATATATATATATATATATATATATATATATATATATATATATATATGTATGTATGTATGTATGTATTTATGTAAAGGGAAAACTTTTCTTCACCAACATATTTCGACTTCAATGGTTTTTATCAAAGCAAACTTGAGTATTTTTTTACGTCTTGTATTTATAAACAGAAATGAAATAAAATCTAAGGTTTTCCAAATATCTGTCTTCATGAAGGCTCATAAATATGCACAAAGATAAACTATTGATGACAAAAAGTGATTCAATTTAATGCGTAATAAGGGAAAGGAAAAAATATTATTATTATTGTTGAAATTTTTCCTTATTTGCTGATACATATTTATTCAATTATTAATTATGATAATCATTATTGATTATTTTCATAAAACTTACAGGTATTTATTTGAAATAATAAATAGTTTTTATGTAACCGTATTGTTTTAACATTTTCATATTTTAATTTTTAAAATATTTATGTTTTTTTATAGATTGTTATGTGACACCATTTAGGGATGCAAGGAAAAGGAAGAAAAGAAGGGAAAGAAATGAAATTTTGATAATGAAAAATAGTGAAGGGTTTCATTGCCATTGTCGAGAATTCTAAATAGATAAAAATTAACTGTGTCGTGGTGGCGGACATATTATCGGGAATAGATAACAGCCACTTGGTGCTGGCGAAAATCTAATTGACAAGTTCCAGATCGGCTAGCTAATCTCCGGGACAGAATAGATAAACATTTAACTGTGTCACGAGAATGCCATTTGGGGCTTCCACAGAAAACTACAGAGATAAAAATTTAATAGGTCCCCCGTTGACCGCATACGAGCTGAAAAAAAAGAAAACAAAGAAAATAGGTTAAGTCTTTGTCGATGGAAAGATATCGTTAGACAAGGTATCTGGGTTGTGTTAGAATCTGGCGATAACAGCGAAACTGTTTTTCGCTAGATGACACCCACCTGATAATTGGCGAAAATCTGATTGACGAAGTCCAGATGAAAGTGACTTTGTGATAGGAATTGAGCTTATCACACTACGGGTCGTGTTGTTCTGTTGGCGGCCAGAGAAGAAGAGAGAATAGAAAAGAAAGAAAGAAGGGAAATAGAAAAAAGAAAAAGTGGAGATAATTCTCTTTTCTTTGAGCAAGATATTTTTTTAAGAAAAAAGGCTAGTCTGGTCACACCCACACTGTTGATCGGCCATTGGATGAAGGTTAACGAGAGCCAGGCGAAGGTGATCATGTGATGCAGGGGGTGAGGCCTGCTACCACTCATTAAAGAGGATAGGTATGAGATGTTACTGCGAAGAAGTAGGAAAAAGGTTGACGCCCTCTGAGGGTATGGTAAGAGAAGACTTCCAAAAATGGAAATAATAAATTTTTCCTGACCGAAAACAAAAAAAAGGGGATTGTGGATTTGAAATTGTCAGGGAACCTCAAACCCCGACAAAGCCCATCCCGATTTTGGTCGGCGTCCATATAAGCAAAGTCGCAGCGAGCGAAAATCAGTTGAGTTCCAGTTTTCCAGAATTTCCAGTTCGCAGTTGAAGTGGGTCCCGCCTCGCATTAGCTGACTAAGATTCACGCAACTTCCGAACTCATCTTCAATCCAAGAACAATTTATTTTTGAAGAGCGACTTAGATTCATGCCACCAAAACAAGTTTTACGACTATCGCCTGAAGACACACCAAGAACCAGTTTCTTAAAGAACAGACAACTTAAGATGTTAAGACTCACCTAACAAAAACAACGTGTCACGAATCCATATAGCGGGTCGGGAGATAGACGCTATCCTATGTATCCAGCAACCATATATAAAGGATCGTTATCCTTTTTTTGATACCTTTGAACTTATTCATGAACTTATATTATGAACTTGAGTTATTATTTTATTTTATTTTACACACATTTGTGCGATACCCCCCTTATTCGAACTCAACTTGCATTACGGCCCCGACGACTGATTGATTTCGTCTGCCTAAGATCAATTCACAACGTGGGTAGGCAGACTGGAGATCAAAGTACTTACTTCGGTAACCAGACGTTGGAGGCGAGTTGGGGACGACGAGGCTGATATCGAATCTAACCTGATTCCCATCCGAATCACCAAAAGGTTAGAACATCGCATTTGGGTGACGCGACCAATACCAAGCCAGTTGGTCGTCACAGGACGGGATAGCACGACTAACGCAGACAGGTGGACGTCACGTTTGGAGCGACGACACCCAAACGAAGCAGCGAGGAACGAGCAAGACTGGGGGACGTCACAGTTATATACAGTATATGATCCATTTTAAGTTTATACGGTCTTACACATGACAATTTGTTAAACGCAGTCAGCATGAGTTAAAATAAAATCACTCATTCGATATAATCAATGCCACTTCTTGAGTGTTTCGCTATCGAATATTGCCAAAACGTAAATCTATGACAAGGTTATCATTAATTATCTCCTTTGCTAAAAGATATATTCTTTTCCCAAGACAAAATACATGACCATAAAAATTCGAACCGTCCTAGGAGCACGTTAAAATCTTCTAAATCTTTGTATGCCGGAGAGCACATTTTCTCTCCATTGTGAAAAACAGTAGACGTTATTAACACTGCTTAAATAAACATGTCGTCTACTGGAAGATGGGTATCCATAAAATAAATAGGATTAGAAAAATATTCCCAAGCTGCATGTTAATCAAAACCCTCAAGGAAGTTTGCAATGAATCCTTTATTCAATCAATGTCTATTTGGACATATATTTGAAAAAAAAGCCGGAGGGCCCAATTACCGTCACTTTGTGATAATAATAACAAAATAGACTCAAGTACACATGGCACAGTGGATAAAGGCGTTAGTTAGATCCAGTAACAGGATCAAAAGAGAGTGAGTTCAATACCCGGTTAAGGCAGTGGAAAACTTTCAGACAAGAATTAACAAGAGATAACTGACATCCATTAAACATGGCACGTGGAACTAAAACAGTCTACCCCAGTGAGCGAATTAAAGGGTTCAGTTCGACATTCCAACCACCTGAAGAAGACCGGAGCGTACAACGGCTGAAGCGTTGTAATAAATATGGCGACCAAAATGAGGACAATAATCCGAATAATGTAAATAATATACATAATACCTCATCTCAGAAATATAGACAGATACTGAAAGGCCGAAACGTTGTAATAAATATGGCGACAAAGATGAGGACAATAGTCCGAATAACGTAAATAATTTACATAATACCTCATCTCAGAAATAAAGACAGATACTGAATAACAAAATAGATGCGAATATTAGTCCAAATATAAAAAAATTAAAAATCCAAGAATATATTTTCACTTGAGAAATTCACATAGATACAATATCGTTTGAAAAACGCCTTTATCCACTGTGCCATGTGTCCTCAACGCATTGGCTAGATCCAGTGACAGGACCCAAAGAGTGTGAGTTCAAACCCGGTTAAGGAAGTGGAGAACTTTCAGAGGGAAACTAACAAGAGATAACTGATAACTGACATCCATTAAACATGGCACGTGGAACTAGAACAGTCTACCCCAGTGAGCGAAATAAAGCGTTCAGTTTGACATTCCAACAACCTGGAGCGTACAACGGCCGAAATATTGTAATAAATATAGCGACAAAAACGAAGAATCGTCCGAACAATTTAAATAGTGTACATAATACCGCATCTCAGAAATATAGACAGATAATTGAAAGAACATTAGGTAAGCGATAAACACTATACAAAAATATACAGAAGAATAAAAAGGGACTATTATTTTTGTTTATCTGAACGTGACATTTTCTGTTTGAATTTCAGGGATGAGGTTTTATCATTATTCATATTATTTACAAGACTT